AAGTTTTTGAAAAATAAAAAGGGCTGAAACTGGCTCAGTGGTTAATTGACCATGGATTCAATCCCTGGTACCAAAAAGAAAAGAAAGTTAAAAAAAGAAAAGAAAAAGAAAGGAAGGAAGAAATTGTTCTTTTTTTAATTATTTATCCAAAATCCCTGGATGGCCACGCACAGTGGTGCATGCCTATAATCCCAGAAGATTGAAGCAGGAGAATCACGAGTTCAAGACCAGCCTCAGCAACTTAGTAAGGTCCTAAGCAACTTGGCAAGACCCTGTCTCAAAATAAAATATTAAAAGGGCTGTGGATGTGGAACAGTGGTTAAGCACCCCTGGGTTCAATCCCTGTTACAAAAAAAAAAAAATTATTTCTGGATGTAGTTATACCAGACTGCTTTAATAAAGTTTAAATGAAAATTGATTATTTAATCTTTCATTTATCTATTTAGTCCTCATTAGAAGTTGTTCATTCTTGACATGCTACAATACTTGGTGAATTTCTTGGAGTCACTTTAGAAACTCCTTAAAATCCAGTTCCCAGAGTAGCTCCATGAAGAGTTCTTTTCTGCACTTTGAATTCCTTTCCTTTGCAAACCCAGAGAGAGAATAAATGAAATTGACAAGGCTGAAAATGATGACCCCAGTCCCTACCCTTCACAGCAAACTGGCTTTCCATGACATTAACACCTACCCCACACCAGAGATGACCATTAGGAGGGGTACACAAAGGTTGTAACAATTAACATATTTAATTTCAATAATTCTTGGGCCAAAATAAAAAATAAAGTGAGCCACATTATTAAAAGTAAGCCTGTATTTGGATTACAGGGCCCAATTCCAACATCAAAGATTTAGCCTTTCTGAAGAGTTGTGCATTTTTTGTAGCTTAACCAAACACAGATAAATCTTCTTTGAAAGAGTCTCTTTTTATGGAACTATTTTTGTATCAAAGTTTGTTAACCTATACTGTTTTAACTTTAACTTGTGAAAGCATAACCTGGGGACAAAATATGATTTTTTTATTATCCACATTTTATTAAACTATTAAAACTTTTATAATAATGAGGTAAATCCTGTTTAAAATCAAGCAGAAAATTAAAACTTTCATTCTAATAGACTTTCCTCATGAAGCTGCTTTGTTAGTTACTCTACTGGCTTCTTAGAAGGTTGCCATGTCAATTAGAGTGCTATCATTCCTTTATAACTAAATAAACATCTGCACGAAACACAGCTATGTCCAGAGCAAATGCAGCCTAAATATGTAAAGAGCCCACTTAATAGTTTCTAAGACGATAATTTAGCCAAAAAGGCAGCGTTTTTTTTAAAACATTCAGCAAATAATTACAGACTTAGAGAACTATATAAGGCTCTGTGTTTTAGTGTATATAAACAGACTCTTTACCTTAGGGACACACACATCATGATGTGACCACCAAAACCTCTCTCCCCCACAGGACTTTCTCCACAGACAGAACCCATGTTGCAACATGTCCTTCCAGAGGCTTACAATCTCTCCCAGTCCACACTTCCACAGAGAAGAGCTTTAGGAATAGATTCCACTGTGTCTGTACCTCTCTCCTTTCTCCCTCTCTCCTTCAGAGTTTTCCACCTCTCTTGGCTGCTTATTTCCAGTTCCTTCCCTTGCTCTACCTGCGCAAGATAGACCTTGATATCTTCCTTCCCTCCCCAGAAACTGCATCATTCTTACGATTTTATGATCTCAAGTTTGAAACTCCCAAATTTAAATACTTCAAATGTATGCCATATTCAATGGTGATGTGACTATTCCTTAAAATTTCTTCAATTCCATCTGACCAAGATGGAATGCTTGATTGTCTCACCAAAGCTGTCCTACTTCTTGTTTCAGTTAGTGGCACCTGTAGGCTCACCACCCAGGCTCTTAAAAACTTCTTTGACTCTTTTTCCTCAGCTTTCCATCAATCTGCCCACCTAATATATTGCCACGTCACATGGTTCAGATCCCCTTCTTTCCATCCTCACTGTCACCATCTTAATTTTAAGCACTTGTTTCTTCACCTTGGATATCCCAGAATTTTTCCATGTGGGCTCTCACTCCCTCTCTAATCTGTAATGATGCTGTCATACCAATGGTTTGAGAGAAGATGTGTCCTCTGGAACTATATGGTTTTGATTCAAATACTAGCTCTGCTACTTCTGTAATCTTGGGCAAGTTACCTAACTTCTCTGTCCTTTATTCTCATCAGTGTACAACAGGATGGCAACAGCACCTGCCTCATAAAATTGTTGTGAAAACAAAATGAATTAATAGTTGTGGAGCACCTAAAACAGCATCTGGCACACTTTTAAAAACTCAGTAAATGTTTGCTATTATTTACGAATCCAGTTACACCATACCTGCCCAAAATTCTTAGGAGAGTCCCATGGTATTCCACCAGGGTTCCTCACCCAGACATTCAAGCTGTCCCCAATTGACCTCTCAGTTTCATATTCCACATCTCCCCATGTGTCCTGTATACACACCAGGCAAAGCGGAGGACAGACTGTTCCCCCAGAGCACACGACCTGAGTCTCCCTCCTCATCCTTGCATGCTCTCCTCTTTCTCTTCTCATGTTCCTGCCTGTTAAAACACTGTCCATCCTCTAAGCCAGCCTTAACTCCACCATAAAGCCTTTTCTGAACCCCTCCACCAAATGCACCCACCTTCCTGTCAATGCCTCCTAGCATGGGGGTTATCTCTCTCAGGGCAGTTTTCTTTTTATACCTCTAACTGCAGTCCTATTACTCGCCTCTTGGCTTGGAGCTCCTTGAAGGTAATATGTGCATTCATCCTTGTTTTGCTCTCTGTACCACCTTGCACAGTGTAATATGTTGGGATAATGATAAAGATGGGTTGTGAACTCCCATTTTTACCCCGTATACAGATTGCAGAATCACATCGGTTACACATCCACTGATTTACATATTGCCATACTAGTGTCTGTTGTATTCTGCTGCCTTTCCTATCCTCTACTATCCCCCCTCTTGAATCAAAATGTGAAATATGATATATCAAGAACTATGTAATGTTTTGAATAACCAACAATAAAAATTATTAAAAAAAAAAAAAGATGGGTTGTGGATGATCAGAACCACAGCCACTGCTGTGACAAGAGAGAGCAAGTCCAGACTAGGACAAGTACACACTCTGTCAGAGTGGGACCTCATCATTTCAAATGATATCCAAACTCACAAAATAAACCAAATAGCCTCTCTAGCAAGTCTTTCTTTACAAGATACCAGAAAAAAAGGTAAAATAGGTACCAAAAGGAATATAATTTGTAGCTAGCTCTATTATAAAACACCAACATTAAAATCACAAAAAAAAAAAATTATCCTCATCTATCAACATTAGAATCCAAAAGCCATTTTACACTGCATTTAGTTGGCTAAGTGTAATTTTCTGCTAGATCCACCGCCTAGCAATCCCAAGAGAAGTGACTCAGACTTCAATGACTGGAGCTTGTTCAATGACATATTAACAACCTCTGGCACGTTAGTCACTGCAGAACTGAACATAGTGGAACATACAAAGTCCCTACCCTCAGATTCACAAGAGGTCCCTAACTCCTAAACTCACAAAAGAAAAGCTATACAATGCCCAACAACAGAGTGACCACTAAGTAAACATTGCTGGCAGTGACATCATCCAGGTGCACAGGGTCAGGGAGAAGGCTGTGCAGAACTCCATGCTGTCTAGGAGCAGAGCTGTAATTTGACACCAGGGATTCAACCTCTCTGCCTCAGCAACTCTGGGCATTCATGAGCAATAGCAAAGGGCTCTTTCATTCCCACTCTCACTTCAGCCATTCAAGAAGCATCCTCCTCCCAGCACCACTAAGAGAAATGTCCTGAAGACATCAGTTTCGAGAACCCCTATGACAAAGTGACAATTAAAGACTGTTTTCCCTCAAATAAAAGATAGCTCTTGAAGGTCCAGAACACTCATTCTGCTGGTACCCAAAAATCCTGAGGCAGAACTGCCAATATCTTTTTTAATAGACAAGTCCTAGGAAGCTTATTATGGCTCATTTAACTATGTTCATTCAAGTGCACATTCAGTTAAGATAACAAAAAAGTGAAATTCAGTGTTTAAATTAGAATACAATAGGTTCCTCTGATGATGTACTGATACTTTTAATAAAAGTACCTAACCAAGTCAATTCAGCCTTCTTATTCCTTATTGCCTACTGCTTTTATTGAATATTTATCTCCTTTCAATTCATTTTTTACTAAGCCTAAAGCATTAAAATATCTTTTTCTGTAGACCAATGGTCACAGAAGACAGTTTCCTATTCTTATACTCTTCAAATCCTAACCCACGAATGAAAAGTAACCAAAGAAAGTAAAAGAACACTCCTATACAACCTTCCTCAAAGGCAAAGAAAATAATACCATGAAGTTCAGGGAACCTAAGTAAAATAACTCAATCAGTAATCCGTAATACAGGTAAAATCTCATAGAACTTGGATACAACTCCCTGCAGCTCATGTTGTCCCACTTTCTGAAAACAAGCTACACAAACAAAACCACTTACAGTTCACAGAAACCTTGTAAACTGCAAAGCTTAAGCACAATATGCAAACTGCCCTGTACCCTGTGGGTGCTCCATAAATACTTGGCAACTGATTCACAGGCCAATTACAAAGTCCGTCAAGGATAGAGTATGTGACTTTCTGGTCCTACCTGGGCAGTGTCAGGAATCTATAGTGATTGTTTGTTGTGTGGGTAGAAAGAATTAATATACACAGAAGTCTAAAAAGGACTGAGATGTGAACAAGTTCAAATAATGTTACTTTTCCCTGTAATTCTTCCCAAAGACCTGAGCCAAAAAAAGAAAAGAAAAACCCTGATATTGTTACCTGCACCATTAGGGAAGAAGTGAATAAAACTGCCATAAATGTGTATAGTGTCTCATTATCTAAGAGCCAACAAGCTAAACTGTTGAAAGGGGTAAAGGTGGGGGAAAACAATAGAAACTTACTTTTCATAGACCAGCTCCTCATCGATGGAGAAATAGTGGGTATTTACTGTGCTTTTTGGTCTATTCCTTAAAGTAGCAAAATATAATCGATCTGAAAGACAAGTTTAAAAGACAGAAGAAAACATATGAGAAGTAAGAAACTGAGACGAAGGATGGTGATAATACACAAAAGTTCAAAAATAACAACTGCTACACATAATTTAAAGACCCCATTAACACGTGGGATTCTTGCAGAAACCTGATCTCTCCCAGAAAGCAGACACAGACCCAATAGCATAATAGTTAAGAAAGGCAAGAAGAGGACCTGATGGAGAACCTCAGCCAGGGGCAGAGCGCGCCGCACCCCCCTTATTTCAGGAGCTGCGGGTACCCGCAAAACTGGAGATGCAAGTTTGGTTCCGAAATCTTCAGACCTCAGCAGCTGCGTAAGGGGAAGAGAAGCGAGCCTCTTCCCTGCAGTTCTGCACTTCAAGAAGAGGAAGACAGGAGAGATCGGGGGTGTGGTTGGGGGTGTCCCGAAAACGGAGGCCAGCCATGGCCCGGTAAAGGCAACCGAAAGGATTCACAGGAGCAAGTTCCCCACCAGCTACTAAGTGGAAAAGACCCGGCAGAAGCCGGCGCTGTCCCATTACCAGAGAGCTGCAGAGGGAACGAAGGACGCAAGAAAGAGAAGCCGGAAGCAAGGGGTCCTCGGGGAAAGCAGAGTAGCAAGCGGGGACCACAGCGCGCGCAACAGCTGCAGGGCACTGAGGGGCCCGGGAGAAGCCCTGGACAGGGATTGGGACAAAGGAGCAAGAAGTGAAGAGTTGGGGGGGGGGGGGGGTGGAAGGGTTGAAGGATGCGGGACGGCTGCTCCTCACCTTTCATGAACTCGCAAGCCCCGATTAGTTCCCCTGACTCCGCTGCCATCTTAAGCGAGATACGCTCGGGGGAGGGCTGGGTCGTGGCCAGCTGAGGTCACCCGCCCCCGGGGGCTTCCCCACTGCCCAGGAGCCGGGAAGCTCGCAGTCCCGAACACCGAGCCTGCCCGAGGGAGGCAGCAGGCGCCAAAAGCGGAGGTGGCTGCGGGGTCAGCGCGCCGGGCGCCCCGGGGACATTCCGTGGGGAACCCGAGCCCGCTCCGCGCGGGGCGCACACGCCCCGGGCTGTGGCCGCTCCGATTCGGATCCTGCTGCTGCTGCTGCTCCGCCGCCGCGCCTGGGAAACGCAGACCAGCTCTCACGGCCGGGCAAAGTCTTCCCCCGGCTCCCAAAGTGATCATGGAGGAGGAGACGTCTGGCCAGGATCGCGCCCGTGGCTACTCGTGCGGCAGCGGGCAGGACTCCGGTGCCCGCGGGCTGGCAGCAGCTGCTCCGGCTCCTCCTTTGCCACCTCCTTTCAGCAGCAACTCTTCCTCCCCCTCGGCCCGCCCCCAGACCTTCCTCCCCGCCCTCCTTCAGCCCCCTCCACTTTCACGGCTCCGCGGCCATCCCTTAAAGGGACAGCTCCGCTCCTTACTCGGAGCCGGCCCTGCGCTCCTGTTACCAGGCGCCTTGCGGGTCACTAGGAGCCGGTTGCTAAGGCTTTGTTGCCGTACACCAATTGCTGTACAGGAAACTGAGCCCTCGGCTCAGGGGAGCCGGGCGGGGCCTCCAGGCCTGAAATTTATGAATGAAACGGTGGGATTTGAGAGTGGATGTCACCAAGGGCGCTTTTGCGGCCTCAAGGCAAGGATGACTTGGCCTCCTATCCTTTTCTGCACCCACTGTCTTCTCCACTGCAGATTTTCCTGTTTCTTTCATTCTCCTTTTCCTTACCCATGTTCTTTTAAACTCTTGCATGCGCGCTTACACACACACACACACACACACACACACACACATACTTAAAGCCCAGATCTTCTCTACCATCTACCTTACCTCTAGCTGACCTTCCGACCAACCCCCATCCACAACACTGAGGGGTCTGCGTCTTTATAAAAAAGCAAATCAAAAAGAAGCCCTATCTCCTAGCGCTTCCTTTACACATACTTGACTTTGATATAACTTGTGCTTTGTTCTCACTGGAGGGGAAAACATTCCCATCCGGTTCTCCACGTCCTCTTACTTGGGGCGCCACTATGAGCACAAAATCATCACAAAAGCTAAATCTTTGTATTGCTCTGGTCCGGGAGGGGGAGAGGAATTAACAGCTTTGGCCAGTCTGGGCGGAGGATGAGAAGGGGAAAGGGGCTCGTCCACAAGAGAAATTAACACAAAAGAAATTGTCAGCTAAAGCGCTGCGGAGAGGGGAGGGTTCCTCCCAAAGACGCCCTTGACTTGATCCTGCGAGGCTGTTCAAACTCTTTGAACAACTTTAATGCTGCGTATCCAATGAACATGCCTAATTAGTGGGCAGTCCTTTTCATACGAAAATGGTGCTACAGACTCACTATCAGAAGAGCATGCGCTCTGAGTGCTTTCTCCCGAAGCAGAAAGGAATTTGTGCCAGTCATTTCCAGTGCAGAGGCTGTTTACCTCTGGAGAGGAAGGGGGCGCAGAAGTGAAGAGCAACTGACAGGGAGAGCTCTGAGGCCAGGGTGTGAAGCTCAGCTCTGGTCTCAGACCCTTACCATGCTTTGCTGGTCTGCGAAAGAGAAACCGGCACAAAAACACTTTGATATCAGAAAAAATATTCAGACACTCTCAGAAATTCTAATCAAACATGTCCTTATAAGATAAAAACAGAACCCACCCTGATATTCAAATCTTTAAGCCCAGAACCAGGTAAACCCGAAGAATCACCAGAGCACCAGAGCATCTCAAAAGTTTTTAAAAGTGTGAAAGGCCTGAAAAGATGATTTGCAATGAGTGCTGAAGTGCGATCAACTAGCCAGGGCTCTAGAGTTCTAAAGAACAAAGCATCTCTCAAACATGTTGTGCAAATTGTTAGTTATATTTTGCCTGATGTTTAGTCTTTCAATTCTTAGTGTCAACAATCATGTTGGCCAATTCATATGATTTTATTGACAAAATTCTAATTGAAAATCTTGAAAAACAAAGTGTATGAATCAAACTTAACATTTTTTTATTTAAAAAGTTAAATAAATCCAGTGATGGCAATCTATTTCCAAAGTTGCTGTTTTAAAATTCTTATAGAATCTAAATTCACTTAAATTGTCTAAGAATTTTTCACCTGAATGTTGAGGAAAAGTGCATTACAAATGGAATTTGGGAACAGGGTATAGCTCAATGATAGAACATTTGCCTGGCATGCACAAGGCCCTGGGTTCAAGTTCAATCTTCAACTCCATACACACACACACACACACACACACAAAGCTGGAGTTCTCATTGAGTGCATAAATTTTTAATATCATAAATAGTCTCATGAAAAGAATGCCAAATCTACACTTCCAGAGAAGCCAATTCTAAATGAATACTCTCTTGGTATTTCTTTAATTAATTTAATTTACGAAAGCATTTTCTTTTTTTTATTTTATTTATTTTTTAGTTTTAGGTGGACATAATATCTTTATTTTTTTTTTAATGTGGTGCTGAGGATCGAACCCAGTGCCTCACGCATGCCAGGCGAGCACACTACCACTTGAGCCACATCCCAAGCCCCGAAAGCATTTTCTTTCATATAATTTTCCTGCTTAGAAATTTTGGTCATGATGAATGAATTGAGACCTGTGAAATAGAAGTCCTTAAAATAAACTAAAATGAAAACCTTGTTTTTTTTCTTTTGCATATTTACAATATGAATATTATAATGAAATTTTTGAAAGTAACAAGTCACTATAAATAATATTTGTTTTAATGTTACATTAAAGGAAAATAAATGTCAGTATGATAGATTCTCTCTAAACCAAAATCATCTCAATGTAACTGGCACAAAAAAAAAAATTCTACAAGAAAAATATGAGATTGTGCACACACAGCACACATACATGCCAAGGTTCTAATGAGATCATAAAATACATTATTCTCTCAATTATCATGAGGTCAAAGTTCCTACTGGTTGTAGTTTCATAATAAAGGCATGCTTTTAGAGCTTATGGAGAAAGATAATGGAAGAAACTTCTAACCACCCAACTTCATGTAAATGTAAGGAACTGGGTTTCATTTTAAGCTACAATAAGGTGTATCACTTGTAAAAGAAGTACTAAGAGATTTAAGATGTTGCTCAACTGCAGAAAAAGAAGGAAATGTTACATGTAGAAATTTAGCAGGTAAGCACAGAAAATGTTTTTTGAGTTTTAAAACAACAACATGTAAGTTTAATGCAACCATTGTTCCAGTACTGCCTAGAACATCCTGTAGCCCATGTTTGGGTGCTTGCAAACCCCTTAGGAAGCTCTACAGGAAGCAGCTCCAAATTATCAAACTCCTAATTCTTCCCCTTGAGGCTGTCCTGAAGGGTTCTAGTTACTCTTACACAAGACAACCTTTCAAAAATGCAATGTGGCTCCCTTGACTAACCCTTTCCATTAAAATACTCAGATTAACTTCCCCATGGTCTTCAACCTTCCTTATGTCATATGACTTCAAGCCTCCTCACGTCCCAGCCCAGTCTCTTCTCCAATTTGTTCAATTTCTTATAAAGTGTGTCCCAGAGCAGAATGTAGGGCACTGGTGACCTGGTGTGACCAGTTCTGAGATCAGAAAACATACTAATGGAAGAATTGAATGGGGGCAAAAGCAGTAAACTAAGTTTAACTAAAAGTTTAGCTATAAGAAAAAAAAAGAAAAGAAAGAAATGTATTCTCTCTTGCTGGAAGATGGCAAGGAAAAATGAGCTCAGCCCTAGACACCGAGGAGATTTACATATTCTCTTCTTTTTAAATTATCATCATTTGTTGTTAGAATACATCATTAAAACATGCTTGTTCAGTAGTGATAAGTTTAAGCAAGTAAAAGAAAATACAAAATATGTGATTTGAATTCTTTCTAGAAATTAATTTCATATTAAGTATGACAAGAAGCAGTAGAAATTCATACTGCTAAGTAATTTGAAAGAGTGTAATTAAAGTTGTTTAAATATTTTGATAATTTATTCCTTCTCTAATACAAAAACTAAATTTAAGGCAGCTTTTAGTAAAATACAGAGAGGGGCTGGGAATATCCCTCAGTGATAGAATACTTGCCTTAGCATGGGTGAGGATATGTGTTCAATCCGCAGCACCACAAAAATAAATTTTATGTATGTATATGTGTGTGTCTGTGTGTGTTATTACAGTAGAACCAGAATACTGAAAATATATGGATTGCGTGGCTCATAAAAGAGCTGCCCATGGGCTGGGGTTGTGGCTCAGTGGTAAAGCACTTGCCTAGCACATCTGAGGCACTGGATTTGATCCCCAGCACATTACAAAAACTAAACAAAATAAAGGTATTGTGTCCATCTACAACTAAAAATATTTTTTAAAAAAAGAGCTGCCCATATGCTAACACCTTGACCTAATCCAGCCATACTCTACATCACACTAATGCTGTTTAAAAATTCCAAACCAGACTCAAAGAAGAACCAGAAAATCGGTTAGTTAAGATTTCAACAGACTCCATGGCACCCAAGGGATTAAGCAGTGGCTGGGCCTGAGCATACGGGTGAAGGGCCGTGGATGAGTGCTCAGGACTTCTAGGAAATATTGGATTTTGAAAGATTATGTAGCAAAATAGAAGAAAAAGCCGGGGCGGGGGGAGAAACTGAGGTCCATAATAGGTAATTGATGTTAAAAAGTCACATAACTAGTTCATAGTAGAAATAAGACCATAATTCATGATTTGCTCTAATACCAACAATCTCTTTTGTTGTTATTTTGGTTTGGTTTTGGTAGTTTTTAATGGGGTGCGGGGATTTGAGATAGGATGTCACTACATTGCTCAGGCTGACCTCAAAGCCCTGGACTCCAGTGATCCACCTGCCTTCACCTCCCAAGTGCCAGAATTACAGGCATGTACATCACTCCTGACAATCTTTTCTTATTTTTTTCTTAATTTATCTATATTACATGATTTAGCCTATAAATTCTTACATTTTTG